TTTGTCATCTATATATCTTATCTGTCCATAGTTGTTTGTATGTTGGCTCCCCTATTAGACTGTGAACTTCTCAAGAGCAGCAACTTTTTTTCTTTTTCTTTGTATCCTCTGCCTAGAATGGTGTCTGGCACATAGCAGGCACTCAATAAATGCTTATTGATTTAACTTATCTGAAATCTGCTTTTATGAAGCTTCTGTCCATTGCTTCTAATTTTGTCCTTTGGACCAAGCAGAACAAGATTAATTCTTTTTTCACAGGATAGCTCTTCATTTTGTCTCCACTAAATCTATTCTACAGGTTCAAGAACTCCAGTTCACTCAACTGGTTTTTGTATGGCATGGTTTCAAATCTCCAAATAATCCTGCTTGTTCTTTCCATGACATGTTCCATATTTTTCCAATGTGTTTCCTAAAACACAGTTCCTAGAATTGAGTACAACACTCCAGAAATGGGACTCAGTATGGAATATAGCAAGTGATTGTAACTTCACTTGTTTTTTTATAATGTTTCTATTATGCTTAAGGTTGAATTAGCTTTATTGACAGCCATTTATCAATACTACTTACTATATATTATTCTGTACTATATGTTTTATTTCCAATTAAACAGGACGATCTCTAAGATCTTGATCAGCTCCAAATTCTATGATGCCATGACTAACCCTAAAGGCAGTGACTGTAAACCTTGTAAATACTGGATTTGGAGTCAGAGAACCTGAATTCTGGTCACTTCTAGGCTACTTGCTACCTGTGTGACCTTGGGTAAGTCACTTAACCTCTCTGGGCCTTAGTTTCTTAATGTATAAAATAAGGGGGTGGAACTAGATGACTTCTAAGAGGATAAGAACAAGCACTTATTAAGGACCAACTATGTGTCAGTTGCTTTAAAAACATATCATTTGATCCTTACAACAACCTTGCAAGGTAGGTACTATTATGACCCCCATTTTACAGTTGAGGAAGCTGAGGTTAAGTAACTTGCCTAGCAAGTGTCTGAGGCTGGATTTGAACTCAGGTTTTCATAACTCTAGGTCCAGCATTCTGTTCACTGCACTACTTTAGCTGTCATATCAAACCCCATTATTCCTCAATAGACATTGCTCTGAAATTCCTTTATCATATCATAAACTATCATTCCATTTCTCCTTATACCTTACACCTCATAAATCTACCTATTCTTTGTCCTCACTGTGACCTCCAATCCCTCCACCCCCCCAGTACTTTTTTCCAGGCTATCATCTCTGCTCTTATTCTTCCCCAGTTTCCACCTATAGTTTAGTTCAACTTTCAAATCCCTTTCACTCCTGTCTCATGTGTTGCCAAGCCCAATTATGAATTATTCCCACCATCTTCCTCCTGTGTCCCCCACTCAAGTACTACTGAAGACAAGTGGAAGAAGTCACATGACCATACTGACTGGGCTCACTACAAATTTATGTTATCTAAGCTTAACTGAGCACTTACTGTAGCACTCATATTTTTACTCCTTTCTAATACATTTTCTATCTCATTCCTCAATGAGACTATTCCAAACTTTCTTTTCTCCTCAAGCCTTCCTCATCATCTCCTGTGACCATATTAGCTAAGGACCTTGGTATGTTGTTTGTCCTTTGTCCCTTAGTGACAGTTCACCCTAAGTTCCTTCTCCCCTTCACTACATCTCAAAACCCCTTGATAGTGTTCCAAATGCCTCCTTTACATCACTTTCTGACAAAGAAGTGGACCTTCTCCAACCAAGGGTAACCCGACAACCATTTTCCCTCTCTCTGTAATCTTTATTCTTGTCCTATTAACTGATTCTTTCCTTGCTGTCTACAAACATAGTCAGGTCTCCCTCATCATTAAAAAATCATTAACTTGACCCTACCATCCTCTCAAGCTATTCTCCCACAGTATTCCTCTGTTTCATAAATAAACTCCTCCAGAAAGCTTTCTATTCTGAAGGTCTTCATTTGCTCTGCTCTCACCCATTTCTCAACCCCTTGCAATCTAGTTTTCAACTTCATTATTCAATTTCAAATAGGTTCTCCAAAGTTACCAAGGATCTCTTATTTGCTAAGTCTTATACACTTTTCTCAATTTTCATCATTCTTGACCTTTGTGGCATCTGATGTTGATGACTCTTTTCTTCTTAGATATTCTCTTCCTTCTGGGTATTCACGAATCTGCTGTCTCTTGGTTCTCTTCCTACTTGCCTGACTAGTCCTTCTCACTCTCCTTGGCTGGACTGTTATTCATATCCAGTCTGCTAATTGTAGGTGTATCCAAAGCTTTACAATGGGCCCTTTCTCTGCTCTCTCATTAAGTGACCTCATCAACTTTCAAGGATTTAATGATCATTTCTATGCAGATGACTTTTGGTTAGGCCCAAGGCTCTTGGACTCCAGTCCTACTTCAACAACTGCCTATTAAGACATTTTGAACATTATGTCCTATTTCAAACTCAACATGTCCAAAACAGAACTTATTAACTTTCCCCCTAAATCAATCTTTGTTTTGGTATTTCTGTGGAGTGTGCCAACATCCTTCAAGTTACTCAGGTTCCAAATCTTGGAGTCATCATTAATTCCTTACTCTTAATGTGCTAAATATCCAATCAGTTGCCAAATCTCATTATTTCTACCACCACAAACATTTCTACCATATGTTCCTTTCTACTAACATGGCTACTGTCATTTTTTAGGCTCTCATCACCTCTCTTCTTTCCCTCTTCCAATATATCTTCCACACAGCTGTCTGTCAAAGTGATTTTTCTTAAGTGCAGATCTTACCCTTGTTACTACCCTACTGGATAAAATTGAATGGCTCTGTATTATCTCGAGGATCAAATTAAAACTCTTTAATTTGGCATTTAAAACTGTCAATGAGACCAGACCAGACCAAATAGGAACTGGACGGCTGAAGCTGAACAAAGCAGACTAGAGACAGGAGAGTCAGGAATCAAACAGAAGTTTAATTTCAAAGTGAGGAAAACGCTTGTCAGAGGCAGTCCACCTTCCTAAGAAGGAGGGCTTATTTTTTGTGGTGGGGTAAGGTTTTTAAGCATGAAAATCACAAAAAGGCAAGACCCAACATGGTAATCCCTAGGTCTTCAGTAAACAGTTCCCACTGCAGGCCCACAAGTGCAGATATTTTCGGGACAATACAGGTGTTCTTGGGTCCTGTAGAAACAGTTTTTCAGTTATTAGTATCATTGAGCCTTGTGATTATCTCAAGTCTTAAGGGTCGCTGAGCCTTTTGACTGGTCAATGGGGTACAGAACCAGAGTTAGTGTGGCAGGAAGGAGTGCAGCACCTGGTTCAGTTCACTTAGCAGTTACAAGCACAGAGACTGTTCATAGCGTTAGCAGATGTGATGCTCACTTTTTGCTGTAGCACATTGGCTGTAGCCCCAGCTCTCAGGCCAGGATCTCCTGGAAAATAGAGAAGCTCCAACAAATCTAAATCATTACACATATCATATAAAATAATAAATCCCACCACAGCATTTGCAAAGGATTGTTGTTATGCCAAGCACAGGGCACAGCACACTTTCTGGGCCTTAGCCCTGGAAAGCAGAGTGTCTCCTGATATCTTGACAACACCTTTCACAGCTTATCTCCAATCAACTTTTTCAGTTTCACAATCCTATCACCCAGCTTCAGGCACTCCAGCTGGCCTGATGGCTCCTCATACACAACCCCACAACAACTTCTCCCTTCCTTTGCCCTATCTTCTAAGCCTCCAATGCATTACTCCTCTTCACCTGTCAAAATACCTGATTTCCTTCAAGACTCAGTTCAAGGTGTACACGTCTTTCCTGATTTTCACACCGGTCCTTTCCCCAACGAAGTTATCCTCCATCCCTTCTGTACACACCTATCACGCACTTGTCCCTCTGCGGAGCTTCCAGGACAGCGGCTGCTTCTCTCATGTCCTCCTATGCCCAGCACCCAGCAAGGTGTCTGGAAGACAGGTATTTACCACGAGCTCGAGGACTGATTACCTCACACGAGGTGTGTGACCACGGAGGGGCTACTTCGCCTCTCTCAGCCTCACTTTCCTCATCTGTGAAATAAAACTGAGGTACCTACCTCACAGGACTGCTGTGAGGCTGACATCAAATCATGTACGTGAAGCATTACACAGACGCCGGCGGCCCCTACACTGACACGCCCGGCGGGGCACCGGCCCCCAGGCTGCCGCTCGTCCGGCTCCCGGGAGGCGCTGGGAGAGAGCGAGGATCGGATGGAGGGCAAACAGCCATCGGCAACAGGGAAGGCCACCCGACAAGGCGTCAGGGATTTTCGGACTGTCTACGCAAGCTGGCGGGGAGGGAGAAATCCAGGTTTTTTATCCCTTTGTGACTGGATCACGTACAGCAAGCCGGGTTGCCTCCCGGGACAGGACACAACGTACGCCTTCCTCAGCTCGACAAGCCCACAACACCCTTTAAGAACCCTCCCACCCGCCCCGGACCACCTGCTTACAACCCGGAAGCAAAAGGCTCTCCTGAAAACCGGAAGTGGAAGGCACCTTTGCCAGCCTAGGCCACGCCCAGAAGGAAGTAAGCGGTCAGACTCGTTTTCCTTGGACTGTCCCTCCACTCCTTTCCTCTTTTTCTTCCCTGACTGCCCTCTGTTCTTTCGGAGGCCTTGTACCACCATCTTCTCACCCTTGCCTTCCCTCCGGAACCTGGCATTAGGTTTGCCTTTGTCCTTGTTATTGCTCGCTTTGCATCGCTCACTTTCTTTGAGGAAAACCTATCTCCTCTACGGGTCCCCGTGAGGGTCACTGTTTGAGTTGGATGAGAAGGCAAAAGGGGCGGGAGCCACACCCACTAACAACCGATTTAGGCGCCAGCCTGGCGCATGCGCAACATGGCACCACAGGAGCGGTCCTCGTTTTGCTCCTCTCTATGGTCGGATCCGGTCTTCCGTAAGGGAAAGGGAAAAAAGGAGAGGGGGGAGGGGGGGCCGGATGGCGCGCCGGTCCCAGGCATCGCCGCGCATGCGTTCTGAGCCTTTTATTTTTTTTGCCTTGTACCAAGCTCCTTAGCCTCATTGGGGTGGAGGAGGAGAGAAGAAACCAGCTTAGCAGCGGCAGCACCGTCGCCACCACCAAATAATGCAGTAAGAACCGCGCCGGGGCTGATGAGATTAAAAGTAGCCCCCCCTCCCCGCGGAACCCACTCCCCCTTCCCCGCGACTAGCCGCGGACCCCCGGGGTATGTGTGCGCGTGTTTGCAAAGCGCTCCCTCTTCAGCTGTCGGATGCACTTGGGGGTGGAGGGGAGGAACCCAGCCCTGCTGGTGGAAGATGGAAGAGGAGCGAGTGAGTGTGTGTGTCTGAAGGGGGGGGGGCACGGGACAGGTTGCATTGTTTGGCTAATCGATAGATTGCGGAGCTGGCATGCGGAGGGATGCTGAAGGGCGGGGGGGGTGGCGGCAGCGGAGACTAATCCTGCAGGGTTTGTGGGATCTGACGGGTGGCTTTGTGTCTCCCCCCTTTCTAGCACATAGTAAAGAACAGCACCAGACCCTCCCACCCCGAGGAGCCTCCTCTGGGTGAAGGGAGGAGAGTCGGTATCATCTTCGGTTTGAAATGAGCGCAAGTAGGGGATGGGGTGGGGGGGGAAGGGAGAATACAACTCGGTGGAAGTGATGTGAAGAAAGACCCGGAGGGAAGTGTCGGCGAGGCCGGGTTGCTGTGAAACCGGACTAGACAAAGCGGTGGCCGGGCTGGGGAGCAGTCCTGGGCAGGCGGGGTGGGATGGGCCCCTTTCGACTTTCGAGCCCCGCATCATCCTCCCTCCGCCATAGGATCTTAATAAAACCCTGAAAACTGGAGAACTGCTGAGTTAAGCCCTCTGTTGCCTTTTCAACTTGCCTTTGTTATTCCTTGATATTTGCAGAATAGGTCTGAGATCAAGAGTGTGATCATACATGATAGTCGTGCTTGGTACGAATTGTGCTTTTTCTTTTCTGAGCTGCTGTGACATGGATGAAATTTTTTTTTCAGTGACATATAGTTTTATAAATATATGTATCTTTCCCCCCAAAATAAAAATTCGAGGGATTAGTAAAATATGATCTTTGTAATTATAACTAGGCCAATGGGCCAGTTGCAGGAACTGAAATGGCAGTTGTTCTGTTAGGCTTTTGAACCCTTAACTGCCTTAAAGAATTTCAAAAATTAATTTTTATTTTTATTTTCTGGGGATTGTAACGATGTGAGCTGCAAAGGCTTTAATCCTTTGGGACTCACCAAGAAATATTTGTGAGTGCCTACCATGTGCAGATGCCACAGGCCATTTCCAATTCAGGTTTCTGCTTAGGCTGGCAGAGACCCTGAACAGGATGCTTAATTGTTCTGTACCTTAATTACTTCATCATTAAAATGGGGCATAGCAGTATGTTCCAGTGACAGCTAAGCAAAATAATTAATAACAGTTTATTGAATAAATTACAGAAAATTGATCATGTGTAACATTTCCAAAGAAGGATCTAAATTTGGTAGGCTGTTATATATAATCCCTGTAAGAATGCGATTGTGCCTCTTTAGCAGCTGTTTGTCCGACCTCAGCTCCTACAGTTTATTTTCTGTTGTTGACTAATCTAAGTGGAATAGATTCTAGGCTAAAAAGTCATGTGTGTGTATTTGTGTAAAAGTAGCTTGTTTAGGGACTTTTAGCAAAAACTCTTACATTTCTTCATTAATAATAAACTCAGTTATACCCTCTTTTGAAGTGGGGAGGTGGCAAATATTTCGTCAGCCTGTTGGAATTGAAGTGGCAGATATAGTAGGTGGCTAAGTTTACACAGTAAATTTATTTTAGAGTTGAGACTGAGAATCCAGGTCTCCTAGCATCACAGTCTTTGGCATTAACCTCAAAACTAAAGCTTATTTACATAAATAAAGGACCAGGATCAAAGTTTTTTGGATTAGTTGTATGTAAAAATCTGAAGCCATAGAACTTTATGTTTGATGCTTTAGTAATTAATTCAGTAGACCTGGCAAAATATAGTTCAGTAAATAAGAAACCATTATTAAACCTAATGTAAACAGTTTTTTTGTGCAAATTTTAATGCTTTTCTATGTGGTAGTTTCATAGGGAGGTAAAAAAATGATTTCTCCAAAGAATATTTAGTGATAAGACACTATTGAAAAGGGTCAGATTTGATCATTGGTTTTAGATTTAGGTTTTTAATTAAAACTGTTTAACTAGATGATCTAAAGTATGGTATTTACTAGGATTCAGTGTGGTAAAATGAGAAAAAATAGATCCTCAGTAATAACACCTTCATTAGTTGTTTGGCTTAATGAGGTCTCAGAGAGATTATAGTGAACAACTGCTATTTAAATTAGTAGTTTGTAGTTGCACAGAAAAGAGGCCATTGATATCACTAATGACAAAATGCTTAGCCATGTAAGGCAGTTTAGATATAGGGCTCAGTTATTTATTAAAACTCTTGTGATAATTGTGAGATCGATTGTAAAATTAAACTGGAACAAGTCCTGTCTCACAGAAGCTAACAGAAGAAACAGTCATTAAAAAATAAATAACTGAATATTTTCTAGAAAATGGGAACAGGATCTAAGATTCTTTTTTTTTCTCAGATTTTGTGTTGAATTAATTATATCAAATGATTTCATATATATGCGTGTCTGTCTTATCTATAGATAATTTGTGAAAATGAACCATTCTTAGTGTCTCTATGGCTGGAAAGGAACTTAGAGGTATTTTAGACCCACCTACTATGCAGTGCAGGTATTCCATCTGCACACTCTTGAGAGATGGTCATTCTACCTCAGTTTGAGTACTTCTAGTGAGAGGGTGTTCACTACTTCTGAGGCATTCCTGTTGAACAGCCCTCATTGTTAGACTATACTGAACCAAATAGTGTTTCTTTAAAATTTTTGTCCATTGGTTTAGTTCCTCTTTGAAGGTATGACACAAAACACGTATTTCTGCTTCCAGATGATAACCCTCCAAATATATTAAGTTTCCTCTTCTCCCTGGATACTTTAGCCGTTCTCACCTTAGCTAGGAAGCATGGTAGTGGAAAGTGCACTGGTTTTGGAGCACAAAGACCTGGGCCCAAATTCTGCCTCTGACATTTACCATGTGACCTTTGTGACCTTTGTCAAGACCCTTGGGTCTAAGTTTCCTTATTTGTAAAATGAAGGGATTAGACTTGATAACTTCTGAGGTTCCTTCTGGCTTTAAATCTGTGATCCTTTTTGATAACCTTTCTCTTGAAAACTCCTAATTTTTAAGTGTCCTTCTTTAAAAAGTGGTACTATAGTTAAAAATAACTTTATTTTTTTAACTTTATTTTTGGTGAGGCAGTTGGGGTTAAATGACTTGCCCAGGGTCACACAGCTAGTGTGTCAAGTGTTTGGTCTGAGGCAGGATTTGAACTCAGGTCCTCCAGACTTCAGGGCCGGTGCTGTATTCACTATGCCACCTAGCTGCCCGAGTCTGTTTTCTTGTCTATAAAATGGGTATAATATACTACCTGCCTCAGAGGACTGAAGATGAAGGTGCCTTATAGAACTTAAGGCTTTATTGAAAATGTGAGTGGTTATTAGCCAAATAAGATGAGATGAGATACATAAGACCTGTTGAGATATTAATATGAATATTATGATTAGCTTATAATACCTTATATTTGTGTAGAGCTTTACAGTTTCCAAGATACTTTGACATCTGTTTACTAATATGATCCTTCTGTGTACAAGATAAATATGGCATATGTTATCTCCATTTCATAGATGAGGAAACTGAGGGCTCAAGCAGTTAAATGACTTGCTCAAAATCACACGGCCAAGAAGTACCAGAGTTCAGATTAGAAACAGATTTTCTGACTTTTCCACTGTTCCTTCTATACTATTATTCCTCCCAAAATGTGGCACAGAGTAGGTCCACAGTGAGCTAAAACTGACATTTTTTCTTCATATGAACTACTGCCAATCCAGATCTCTCATCTTGTACAGTTTCTTTTTGTAAAATAATACATTTTAATTGATTTATTTTTATGTCACCTGGATTCTCCTGTAGTCCTCTTCCCATGAGAACCATCCCTTTACAAGTTTTTTTTAAGAGAAGAAAGAAATCTGCAATATTGCTCAGTTAAAAAAATCTGATGTTGCATGCAGTGTTAACTTCTGTGTCTCTCCCCCTCCCCCCAGCCTCTTTTTACTTTGGCAGCATTTAATTTAGATTGTTTTGTGATTGTTGATGTTTTCATTTTTACTGTATTAGTAATGTATATTGTTTTCTTGGCTTTGCTACTTAGATTTGCATTCATTTTACATCTGCTCTTCTAAATCTTTCCATGCTTCTTGTATACATTGTCTTCATCATTTCATGCAGCATAGTAATATTCCATTATATTCTTGTACTGCCATTTGCCAATTGCCAAATTTATGGGCATCCACTTTGTTTCTAGTTCTTTCCTACCATAAAAAGTGCTGCTGTAAATATTTTGGTATTTTATGTGGAGCGTTTTTGTCATTGACCATCTCAGGGTTCGTTCCTGACATTGGATGTACAAGGTTATTTGTTTTTGTTTTAAACTCAGGTTGCCTGCCTTTGTATTTAGTATTGTGAAATGTCATCTTGATTTAGATTTGAGAGGGGGAAAGTCTCTAGGGCTAGCCACCCTACAGGTAGTTTGAGCTTAGTCCATCATATTTCTTGGTGATATGTTGTATTTTGAGTTATTTCTGTAAAGTTAGCAGATCATGATATATCTGTGATGCTTCACTAACTCTTCTGCTTGGGTCATTGATCTTTGGGGTGGACCAATGTTTGAATTGACTTTACATGATTAATTAAATGTTCAAATCTATGTTTATTTTAAACATTGGTAATTAATGAAGAAGGTCTTAAATTTTGTCAAGTACTTAGGTAGAGTTTAGTTGGGCATTCACCTTATTTCATATTCTAATAGGTACCTTAAATTTCTAGGCTACAGCAGTTTTGCAACATTTGTAGCAGTATCTACTAGAGTAGCTCTTGATTGAGTTCTTTATACAGTTTGTGTCTCTGTTATGGTAGAGGCAAACTGTTATGAATGTGTTCAGCAGTCACTGAAAACTGTCCCTCAGACATAGTAACAAGGTCTTATTGTGGACAGAGCTTGGATTGTTTGGTGCCCTTCCTAATGAAGAACAGTTGAATTCAGTCTATAAACAATAACATAGTCTTTTAAAGATGTTT